TTGGAACTCACATTATGATACTTTACTGAGTATTAATACTATGTTTCATCCCGTGGTGAAGGTGCTTGAATGGATTGTTGATGATGTCAACCAAGATAATTTAGGTGAAGCAAATAGGTTATTGAAAGAAATACAAACTTTTGACTTTGTGTTTCACCTATATTTGATGAGATTTATATTGGGAATCACAAATGATTTGTCAAAGGCATTACAAAAGAAAGATCAAGATATTGTGAATGCAATGATATTGGTCCAAAGATGTAAGCAAAAGCTACAATCCATGAGGGATGATGACTTTGATGATCTGCTTGGCAAAGTATCAATATTTTGTGGCAACAATGATATTGATGTTCCTAACATGGATGATTTATTTGTACCACAAGGGAGATCACGTCGTAAAGCTCAGAAAATCACAAACCGTCATTATTATCATGTGGACCTATTTCTTACTATCATTGATAAGCAACTAGTAGAATTGAATAATTGCTTCACTGAGGTAAATACTGAATTGCTTCTTTGTATGGCATGTTTGAGTCCATTTTATAATTTTACAGCTTTTGACAAACAACAAATACTTCGTTTTGCTCAATTTTACCCTCAAGAATTTAATGACCGAGACCTCATGAAGCTTGAAGATCAACTTGGGCTTTATATTGTTGATATGCAGAGCAGCACTGAGTTTTCATCATTGAAAGGAATTACTAATCTGGCAGAAAAATTGGTGAATACAGGAAGGAGTAGAATATACAACTATGTATATTTACTTCTTACATTGGCTTTAGTTTTACCCGTTGCAACAACTTCAGTTGAGAGAGCTTTTTCAGCTATGAATATTGTGAAAACATCATTGCGTAACAAAATAGGGAATCAATGGTTGAGTGATAGCTTGGTTGTTTACATTGAGAAAGATGTTTTTTCTTGTATTAGTAATATAAATATAATGCGACGTTTTCAAGATATGAAATCTCGTCGGCAACAATTTTAGGGTAATTGTAATGATATTTTTTTAATGTATTATGAATAACATTAGTATTGTTTAAATTATAAGGATGTTTAGATTTTTTTTTTTAGGGGAGCTCTTAGCTTTTGAAAATTGCACCTCTGTTGAAAAATTCCTGGATCCGCCGCTGGCTGGGAGCTCGTCCTGCCATGTCGGCAGCCTGCATTACTAGTGTCAACTGCAACTGCTTGCTAGCAGATCTCCTGGTTTATAGCAGATGTGACAGCTTCGATCTTACTAATCCATGGTCGACCTAAGATTCTGTTGTAGGGGAAGACCTAATTGATGACCATAAAAGTCTACGAGCATACCACCGCGGGTGAGTGGATGTCAAGGTCAATCGTTCCTACAGTGATAGACGTGGCCTCATTGAAGCCGGTGAGCGATCTGGCAAGTTTGTTGATCTAAGGCTCCAATCCCACCTGTTGGATAACAGATAGCTGCAAGATGTTGGCTGTGCTTCCCTCATCCACGTAAACTCGCTCGATCACAACTTGTTCAATTTGGATGCAGATGACTAGGACGTCATTATGTGGCAGATCATGCCCGATCAAGTCTTTCTTTTGAAAGTCGATGACGGGTGTGTCTTCAATGACTAGTTCGCTAGTTGTGACTTGGGATACATAAGTCGCCTGCTCAATCTTTCTCTTGCTCTCGTTAATGGTCAGCCCAGACTCCTGAGAGTCGGCTAGGATGGTGTTGATCTGTATGACTTTTTGTGAAGGTTCCTTGGTAGCTGCATCACCGTCCTCGATCTGTTGGATGGCTTTCCTTGTGATGAATTCCATGCAATGGCCGTCTTTGACCAGCTCCTTGAGGTGCCTTTTTCATTCATTGCAGTTGTTGTTGTAATGATCATGCTTCTCATAGAATGCACAATATTTACTGGTATCCCTTTTAGCCAGGTCTCCCCTTAGAAGCGTCGGTCTCTTCACTCACGGCTTGTCTTTCACTTATGCCAGGATCTGGTGGATCGGGATAGTAAACTTAGTGAAGGTTTCCATTTTTGGGACTCCTTATTAGGGCCGCGATTTAAACTTCTCCCGATTTTTGTGTTCAAACCTGTTGCTCTTTTGGCTTGCCTGCCTTGTCGAGGGGTCAGCTTGCTTGCTGGCTTTCTTCGCAGCAATATGGTCATCGTCCCAGAGTGCGTAGCACTTTGCCGTCGCAAAGACTTCTGCCAAGGTTTGGCTTGGAGTTATGGCTAGCTCACGATATAGCTCGTGTTCAGTTGACAAGCCCTTCTTGAAAATTGAGGATGCAACTAGGTCATTGCATCATATGATGTTTGCCTCAGCCTTAATTGTTTGAGGTAGTCTCGAAGAGACTCGTTTGGCTTCTTGCACAAGTTGAACAGGTGGTCTGCGTGCTTACTGACCGTCTGGTAAGAGGTGTACTCCTTTGTGAAAATGAGGGCGAACTCCCTGAAGTTGTATATCGATGCGGACAGTAGAGTATGGAACTAGTCTTGAGCTACCCCTCACAAAGTCATCGCGAACACCTTGCACATCAGGGTGTCGTCTGCCTTGTACAAGATCAGGGCGTCTTCTGCCTTGTACAAGATCATGGGGCTCTTAAAGTGCCTCAAATGGCTCTCGGGGTCAGAGTCCCCCTTGAACGGTGTGATAGACAACGTCGTTAACCGCTTCGAAGGTGTTTCTTGTTCCACCTCATTGGTAAAGGGTGAGTAGTCGATTCGATCAAGTTCCCTGCACAGGGCCTCCTCCGTGCTTCCTTTAAGTTGAAGACCTTGGAGTTGGTCATTTACTAGCCTCTCGACATATTTTCCCCTCAGGGTTGGTGGCTCAGGTTGGTGTTTTCGGTGCCTAGAGCGTTGCTGGTTAACTTCCTCTTCAACTTCCAAGGGTTGATCCCCTTGGTTGTTCTGTCCGTTGGGCTAATTAGGAGATTAAACTTGTGAGGATTCCTCTACGGCTTGTCGCAATGTGTTGGTTCTTGAGCGTCGGTCATTGCATTCATCACGCGATTGTTCACAAACTCTAGCTCCTTGTGGGCCCAGCCTAGAATGGATACTTTCTTGTGGGCCTAAGCGAGAGTGGACATTGGATTGCGGATTGTCCATATGATCAAAGTACGGCTGGTAGATATCTGCGTCTCTTCAGCACGATCTCATTCTCTCCCCTTCTCATTTGTCTCTGTTTGACCAGCCTGAGACCTCTCGAACTGCTCGCTTGTACGCTCGTGTGTTCTCCTCTCCTTGTCACAGGATCCAAGGTTAGGGCCTTAATTCAAGTTGATCTACCTGAGTAACTCGCCAATTAGCTTATTTTGATCATCGACCCTCTGTGTGAGCTGATCAAATTGTGAGTCTCCACCTGACTGCATGGGTCAGGTAGAGAGGTGTGCATCGGACCTAATGACATATGGGTTAGGGCTCCATTAGATACGTACACAGGTGCATACGTCAAGTGTGGTTGCAAAGAAGGGAGAGAATGGATTTGCTCCAAGACTGGGACAACTTCGAAGTAGTCGTGGGGCTGTGCTGTAAATCCAACAGCTACGTGGTGCCGCCACTACTGTATTCCCACAGCAGGATGGCGCGGCAGAGCAGCTCCGACAGCTGGCGCTTATGGCTGCAAGGCTGGGGAGGTCACGAGACCATGTGGCGCCTGTTCTGCAATTCCAGCAGTTGGAGGTGGCTGCAAACCACTAAGAGGCAGCTGCAAGGTGTTGGTAGCCACTGTTCCGTGCAGTTGCAGTGAGGTTTCCACCACGAAGCCATGAGACGGGCCCGTCGTGGTGGTGTTACTCTTCGTATGTCTTGTATCAACCATGGTTGTTTGAAACAAAGTGTGGAAAATGGATTTGGAGCATGCTTTGAGTATTATTTCGTGCTCTAAATGAAACACCAATTTGTATATGTGATTTTCGTCCCAAAAGAATATTCGTATAAGATTTTGTCTTCCTCTTTGCTTCTCTTTCTCCCTGCAAAACAATATGGAGTGAAAAGACCACACCCAGGGGGTGTTGGACAAAAACCATCTGATACCTAAGTTAGGTTAAATGTTTGTAGGAAAACAATAACTAACAAAATGATGAAGATTTCTATAAGATGAGAATCGGGTGGCTGGAGCCGTGTGTAGTGGCCGGAGCCTTGTGTGAAACAGAGGAAAAGTATGGCAGTTAGGGTTTGTCAGAGAGAATTTCTGCAGAGTTTCAGACAGAAGTTTAGATGTACCTCAACTCTTGGTGTAGCCATGTATTTATAGGAGCCTTGGAGGCTAGAGTTTTAGAAGAATAGTTCCACAGATGGAAATGAATTATTTTTCCCCAATTTGGAGAGATTGACATAATTAATCAAATCCCTAATTATGGTAAAAATTGAATAATTGTCAATTAAATAAAATAACTCCCAACTAGGTTAAATAATTTCCAAATAGATTGGCTTAATTATTTGACCTAGAATCCGTAGATATTTTGCTTCCACACTATGCAAAACCCAAACATAAGAGACATGAATACATGCGTGATCTTTAAAAAAGACTTGTGCTTGAACAACTCAATGAAAAACAAGAAAAGAGAAAGACAGAAGTGGAAGCCTAAACGTCCCTTCGATCTAGTGGGCATTAGTTAATAGAAATTTGCCTTTTGGGTACCGTGTTTAGTTTATAAAACTAAGATAATTATATTTTTTTAATCCAGTTTAAAATTGAAAAAACTTTAATTATTGGGAGTTTATTTTATTTAATGGTAAGATTAGTTGGAAGTTGAAAGGGTCTGAAAGACCCGTGCCTTAATTTCCAACAGGTGCGTTACATTCTTTATTAAATTTAACGACCCAATGCCTTCCTCTTCTTTGCTTCACTTTTTCTGACCCAATTTCAAAGCTTCCTTTCATCGCTCTCTCTCTCCATTGCGCGCGTTCTCTCTCTCTCTCTCTCTCTCTCTCTCTCTCTCTCTCTCTCTCCCTGTTTCCACATCTCTCGCTCTCTCCCAGTACTGGTTCTCCCTAACAAATGCGGTTCGTTGAATACATCGATTCAGGTCGCTAACGTACCGCGAATTGGTACGCGCGACAGGTTCCAATCAGAAATTATGAATCCTGTGGAACTTTTGTCTAATCTCTATGCACTGAGACAGTTATATGGACTCCTTCAAAATGGGGAAGATGGCTTCGAACGTATAAATTCAAACAATGTAAGGACTCTCAGAATCATCTAGTCAGGTTTTCTTTTCAGCAGAAACATGTGGATAATGTCTTCCAGTATGCTATCAATTTTACAAATTGTTGGAACAGAACAGATCTCTTTTTTTCAGTATATTTAATATTTTTTATTATTACTATTGGGAAATAGATAGAAATTACAGAGGACTAGGTGTCTGCTAATATCCAACCAATTTTGCCTCCTATTATCCACTGATTTACTCTTAACACATCCATTACCAATGTAAATCATTTATATATTTTTAAACCTTATCATTGATTATATCGCTCCGCCAACTGGGTCTAACTGAGTGGAAATGGCCTTGACTTGCAGACCAGAAGTCTCAGGTTCGATAAGCCCCTCCCCCAATGCCGCGTGTATTAAAAAAAAATAAAATCATTGATTTTATGGCTCTTATCAATATAGAATTCCGCTTTTTAAGTAATGAGTTTTAGTGTAAGATGCAGGCCAGGAACTTTATGTTAACTGTGGCTATCTATTTCTTTTATTTTTTTTGTTACCTAGTCGCAGTGAGATTACTTTGTATTGATTTTATTAAGTAATTCACAACTCAGATGACTTTTTGTGCCTAATATTATGTTCATGAAGGTGGGCAAAGCTTTGGATGTGAGAGCGCAACAACTATTAAAAGATCTTCTGGATGACGCTACTGACAAGATTTTGAATACTCATTCAAAGGTATCACCTGTGTAAAAATTCTGCAAAAGTAGCTCTCTTTTGACGTCAAAACCATTAAAAATAGTACAAATACATTTTATTCGTTGATGGTCTTTATAAACCGTAAAATAATGTATGCATATGCGCTGATGCTCTTTAAAATTTTCAAGTCTCAAGTGTCACCTTTGTCCCTTTGCTTTTTGCAATGATTCCTATTTCCCTTTCTGAATTTTAACAATGCTGTGACTTAGGATTTGTAAGTCGTAGGTATATTCTCCCTTTCATTATCATTTCTGATTTTAGATTTTTAATGGTGTTGGTTTTGCAGATCACAGCAGCTCGATCAGGTTTTGATAGCACACCCTGCTCTTCTCAAGCAGAGCAACCCAAGGCGGTGCCTAAGCTAAATTCTGTTTTGCCAGCAACAGTAAAATCACCTCTTGATACTGTCCTGAATTATGGAAAGGATTCTAAAAGCTGCAAGATCACTTCAAAAACGGATGAGCTGTCACCTAAGAAGCCCGAGGGAGCAAGTCCAGAGTCTAAAATGAGCACCTCAACAGACCTACCTGAATACAAAAGGAAACGGTGCCGGATCTGCTTAGAAAGCAATCTGAACAAACAGTACTCAGCCAAGGAGTCAAAAATCTCAAATGAGAAAGCCAAGGTACCTGGCAAAAACAGTCAGATTCAAGATCAGCGGCACGATTGGCTTAGTCATCTGAATCGTATTGATGAGCATGCTAAAAGACTACAAAAATCGAATGGCATTGGTGAAACTCTTGGTAATCCAAGCATTGATAGTTTGGGTGCTTGTTCCTCAGTCTCTCCAACAAGGGATGGCAAGCAAGAACTTGGTCTGATAAAGGAAAAGTCAGACGAGGCTAGTGATTACTCTAAAGTTGTCACAAATGCAATCAAACAAATTGAGTCCGGAATTTTGGCTTTGCAATTGAGTTCTACTGACTTGGCGGATTCTTTCGATAATGATGTTGATGTTTCAGTTAGTCCTACTCCTATAGTACACACAGAAGAGCAGGTAGTTGGTACTAGTACTAGAAGAGATCAGCCGAGTGATAGGAGCGAGTCATTGTCTTTGTTAGGTGGAACTGAGCTGCTAACTTGTCCGGCAAGTCAACTACTGTCTCAAAAGCATGAGAATCCAACTGGGAAGTTTGCTTCTAGGGGACATGAATCTTTAAAGGCCATTATGGAGAGATTTGAATCTCTTAGTCAACCAGTGAATCAGAATTTTAAGATGGCAAGTTATGTTAATGGGCTAAGGGTCCCCCCAACTCCAACTCAGGATGAGGTAGATATGAAGCCTGCCATGCAAGTGAAGACGGATCAAACATCTCAAATCAGTCTGGGGACAAATCCACCAATGAGGAGCAAAAAGATCGCAAGATCTAAACCGTCCATGCCACCTCAGTCGAGGGGGTCCAAAGCTTCTTCAGTTGGACTTGGACCTGGCAAGAAGTTGAATCAGAAGCGGACAAGAAAAACAACGAGACCTCGTAATCAGATGATCATGAAGCCAGTTCTGTTAGATGAACACAAGTCCAGTGAGAGGAGAGGGAGCTACAGGATGTCTTATGTGGGCCAACAGAACAAGGTCATGCCACGCAAGCAAGTATTGGAAGAGGAGACTAGCTCAAGTACCTCAAAGTCCCAAACATGGTCAACCAGTGAGCAAACTGAAACTGAAAGCAGCGCCAGTAGTAATGAATATTCTAAGGAGGATTACTGGAGTCCAAGTCAGTCTTCAAGACGTACGCGTGACATTCATATGAGAAGTGGACAAAGGTCGATAAGAGTGACGACACAAGATAGTAGTTCACTAATTAATAGCTGTTGCTCCTCCTCCTCCCCATCAGAGGGTCTCTATAGCCATAAAAGATTACAAACGGACAAGCCCGTTGGACGGTTAAGGAAGCTCAAGAACAAGTTGGGACTCATCTTTCACCACCATCACCACCACCACCACCATCATCATGGAAATGTTAACAGTGATGATGATCACGGCCATTCTACATGGAAACACCTACGGAAGATGATGTTGCAGGGCCAAAAAGCCAAGCAGGGCAGTGATGGTCATCAAGGAGGAGAAAGAGGAGGGGTCAAAAAATCGTTGTTGAAACTGAAAACCATGTCACATAATAATAAGAAGCAGCAGCAGGGGCATTTTCATGCACTGGCGGAAGGGCTGTTGAGGCACGTTAGGCATTCAAAGAAATCAAATAAGTTGTCGAAAGGAGGTGGGATTGGACGGTTGAGACATGGCCCTCATCAATCTCATCATCTTGGCCACGGCCGCCTTAATAAGAAGAACAAGCTGCATTGGTGGCACATGTTTCGGCGACACGGTGGAGTGAAGCTGCCTAAGGCTAAAAGAGGGCGTATAAAATTGGGATTTACCACTAAAAGACGTCCAAAGCTAAAAATGAAGTAATTAGTTAAAGCATGTTGTAATTAAGTGTAAGAGTAAATAGAAATATATGAGTAATTGGTTATCCTTTTGTATGATATACTACCACTCTACATATTGCACCTCATGTTTTACCTGGCACATTCATCTGCTGAGATGGTTTATAAGGCATTCCTCAACAAGTCCGCCTCTTTGATGCCGAAGGGCAAATTTGATATTGTTGTACTTTTAAATAAAATTGATTATCTTATGTTGTGAGGATAATCAATTGTGAAATAAAGTAATTGAGCGTTTGATAAATTGTATTTTGCAAAAGTGTTGTGAGATAATAAGCAGTGTAAAAAACTTTGATAAATTTTTGTGTGGAACTGTTTCGACTATGTTAAATTACTAAAATAGGCATGCTAAAAGTGTTTATTACTCATTTGTATTCTTTTGTACACACACACACACAAAAAGCAATACTCATCTAGAATTTGGGGATTGATCTTTTAAAAAAAAAAAAAAAAAGCAACAGAACATCTTTCAATTACTCAATTGCCCAAATTAATTAATCATTAACTAATATTGCCCTCTTCACCAAAACTACTATGCACCTCTATTGCGTTCTAATTAACCTGCCAATGGAATCAACAATATTAAGCACAATTAGTATTTACAAGAACTCATTCTAAATATCCCTCGAGTATAAAATTACCATTTTACCTCGGGGCTTTCACAAGCCACCCGTGTCTCCTAGCAACATATTTTGGCTATCTGGACTAAATGAATTGAACATAATTCCGACTACGACTACCATGTCCATGTAATTCAATTTTTCTATCATACAATATTCTGATTGTAACTCTTAGGCATGGAATTACTATCAAGCCCTAATTATGATACTATGAATAACACTCCTTCATACATGATTCAATACAATAGCATTAGAACACTATTTACACTATGGCTAGAGATTTCTGAATCATCCTTTCATGAAATATTCTCCTATTTTACTAGAGATGATAAATCCTATGTTGTACATTCATTGTCTTCGTATACAAATCACTATGCCAGTACACTATCATAACTCATGGTTAGAACTAAGACTTGTTGCACTGTCAAAGCATATCAACTTATATATACAAGACAAATGTGAAGCCTCAAATTTAAAGATCACTTACATAGTTGTAACGAAGAATTCTTCTTTGATGGGCAAGTAAAACTCCATCGAAGAATTCATGTATACGATCATGTTGGTACCATGACTAGCCGAGCAACTAGCTAGGCTAGATCAGCCATGTGACATGCTCTGAGAGGTCATCACCTTAGTCAAAGAAGCCTTGCCGCAAGTCACAACTAGGGGCAATGTCAAGAATCCCACATTGGAAGATTACAAGAGGTGAAGACTTCCCCTCACCTATAAAAGAAGACTATTCTTCACTTTGGGTCTTGGATTCTTGGGCTTTGTACCTTAGGGCTTAAGTCTTCTTCCATTTATCTTTGGGTCTAATCCCTTTGTACAAATGTAAACAAATATTATCATAATGAGAATATCATTCTTCGTGGACGTAGCCTATCATCTGGGTGAACCACATATATCTTGTCTTCTACATGCTTATTTACTTTACTTATGTTGAACTTTAGTGACTGCCGAAGGCAGTCTCTTGCCTTGCCTCCCAAAGGCACATACACACGCTAAAGGCACACGTCTTCACACATCATCTACCACTTCACATCTAAGTTGATACCCATTTTTGGTGTCAACAGATATTCCTCTTATAGTGTCTCTACACAGATAATTGAGACCAAATTATCTTCGGCATTGAGTAAAGATAGAATATGCCAGTCTTACCGCATTGTTAATGCCTAATTAACAATACCTACGAGTGGGAACTATTGAGTAACTAGTATCTATTCAATACCTCTTAGAACATCTCCTAACCTAAGTTTCCTTAGACTATTTTATGCTTGCATAAAAAATAAATAACTTTTGTGATTAGTACACTAATTTTTTTTTAAATTTTATTCCATTGAAAGATTATCCTTCCACGTGTTAGTCCCATCGGATTAGGATGCTTTCAATTTCCTTGTGTAATATAAAAAAACAATGAAAGTTACAACGTAGGAGAGAGAAGAGATGGTTAATTTAATATGGAAGAAAAAGTTGTTATAAAATAGTTTCCTTCCCCTCTCCCCTAAAATTCGATTAAAAAAGTAAGGCACTATCTTCGCGCCTGGCGAGCTATCCCTGGCAAGCAAGTAGCATCATCCCATCTGACTTGCTATTTCTATTGTTGTCTGTTTTATTCAACACTTTTGAGTATTCAGATTGAGAAACAAACAAAGAAACCAAGAAAAAAAGAAAGATGATGATCCGCAGTGCCATCGCCAAAAGACTTGTCTCCTCAAACTCCTCCTCCTCCTCTTCTTCTTCCTCTGGTTGGACTTGGTTGTGCCAAAAGACCACCAGCAGCAGCAGCAGCAGATCATCGTCATCGTTGGTGGGTCAATGCCTAAATGACGACAACAACAACAACAAGAAGCTTGAATTTGAATTTGATGGCATTGAGAAGACGAGTAAGAGTAGCAGCAGCAGGTGGTTTCACTCTGCCTCACTGGGTGGTGGTGGGGGGTTGCCTTCTTCCATGAGGGCAGCTGTCTTCAGGGAACCTAACAAACCTCTCACCATCGAGGAATTTCACATCCCTCGCCCCAAATCCGGTGAAATTCTCCTCAAAACCAAGGGTATATTATATATGACTTCAAACTCTCTCGTCTTTGGATTTTGGAATTGTTATTATCATTTGTTCCTCATTTCCCTGTTTACCTTTCAGTGATTGATTTTGAATCTGTCATGCTGGTTTTGATTCTTGACTTTTTATTTATTTATTAATTTATAGTTCTTTGATGAAAATACCCAGAATTTTTTTTAGTTTTAAAGATGATTGGCCAAAGAAAGAAAAAGAAAATCGGAACCACATGTGGATGGCTGATAATGCGCCATAGACTTTGGAGCTTTGAATATGATTTGTTGAAATGTGATGTATGAGCATTCTTAATTAAGCTTGATTGCCTTTTCTATGTATTGGGTTTTGCCATTTCAATTCTCTAATCTTCCCACAAGTAAATTCTCACTTGACCTTTTTTTGTTTTAGCCAATGATAGGTTTCTTGTCCGTCCCTTCTTGCGCCTTTTCGGTTTTCACTAAATTGTGGATGCACTTCTCATGTGTTCACTACTCTTCACAAAATGTTGTCTGATATTGTTAGTGTTTTCTTTTCTTGTTGTAGCCTGTGGAGTTTGCCACTCCGATCTCCATGTTATGAAAGGTGAGCTTCCATTTGCTAGCCCTTGTGTCGTGGGGCATGAGATAACTGGTGAGGTTGTCGAACATGGACCGGCTACAGATACCAAAACAATAGCAAGGTGCCCTTCATTTAGATCACAACAATTTTAATGGTGTTCTATAAATTTGCTCTCATAAAATGTAGATATCTAGATCACCAAATGAAAAAAACAAGTGTAGACATCAATTGACACCAGTCTGAAACTTTTATACTACTATAACTTTTTTATGGGATTAATTTGCAGTTATACTCACCGTTAGATTTGATATTTCACAAATATAAGTCGGAAGGGTCGTGGTAAATCCATCACATTGCGGTGTGTTTGGATGGGAACATAAACTTGGAATTTATACAAAAGTCAAGATTTCTGAAATGACATGTACTGATTTCTGGTATGAGTGTATAAATTCTACATGGAAAGAAACTTAGAATTTGAGGTTCATAAATCTCTACTTTAAATTCCACCTAAATAGGTATCATTTCCAGAATACAAGACAATGATAGTTTTGAGACAAAGGCTAGAACCACCACCACCTCTACCTGCACTCCACTGTCACCATCTTGCCATGGCCATCACTACCACCACCACTAGCAGCATCGCCGATGCCACCACTACCAGTAGTATCACCATTCACACAATTACCACCTCCAGCACCATTAACACGTATTTAAATCTTATATCCTTAATAGATTAACCAAACAGGAAACTTTACAAATTCCAGAATTTTAAATTCCATTTTCTAAAATTACTTCGAAATTTCATAGTACCTTAAACTCAATCATCCAAATGCACCATTAGTTTTGAAAACTGAAAGTTTCGTGGATAAGAAAAAGAAGTATGCAGTAACCGATAGTTATTGATTTGACATTCGACATGTTCAATAGATGAGGAAAAAGCATATTATAATTTTAATCCAACTGCGAGGTTCGAAATTATAGACTAACAAGAAAAAGTCCAATAGAGGATGTGAGGAGTTGTGTACATTTTTGGTTGGCCGTTATCTTAGGTTTACACTTGTGTGTGTGTGTGTGTGTGTGGACGTCGGCTTTGTGGATTTTTAGTTTCATATTCTTGATTTTTCAGATTACCAATTGGATCTCGTGTTATTGGAGCTTTCATCATGCCTTGTGGTAACTGTTCCTACTGTTCAAAGGTAATACTACTCAGAGATGCTACTTTGATCGTTCTCTCCAATCTGTTGTTATCAATAATAGTTTATTGACTGCTCTACAATGTGGTAGTTACCATTTCGTTTTAGGAGAAAAGTGTGTATCAAATAGTTGATTTTTTTTGGTCACTGAATTGAGAAAAGGGCCATGATGATTTATGTGAGGATTTCTTTGCCTATAACCGTGCAAAAGGGACCCTTTATGATGGTGAGACTCGGCTATTCCTCCACAGCAGTGGTAAGCATGCTCTTCTCTCTCTCTCTCTCTCTCTGTCCTTTTTCTTTTTCTTTTTTCTTCCTTTGTTTTTGTCAGTCTGTTGAACTTTTAATAGCCATATATAAATGGTTGTTTCTAGTATCCGTAATTCTAATGCAGGGCGTAAGGGATTGGAAATGAACAGGTCTTTCATTCTGATCTTTATGATTAACAGTGTCATTTTCTTTTCCAAACTTTATTGTTGACTAAGTTGAACCCTGTCAACATGTAGCAGCAAAGTTTCCTTAAACTATCACATAGAATCTTTACTTGTGATGGCATTTTTCTTCTTGCCTTTTGTATAGGTAGTATACAAGATCCATAGTTTTTTGTTTTTGGCTAATTCCGGACACGTACTATAAAGAAAAATAGAAAAGAGA